TTTAGCATTATGGCATTATTCATCATTAAATTCTTAGTAGTCAGGGGCTATTTTGAAACTGTGGTTTAATCCAAAACTATTATATTTCAAGTAGAAATCCAATTGTAATCTCTGCTAGTTGGATCTGTTGTCGGGATCGTTATTTAAAAGTTTATGATTATCCATTTAAACAGTCTACAATTATGAGTTTGTAATATGAGTAGATATTGAGTTAAATTAAGAAGTAAAACCCGTACGCATATCCTTAAATTTCCTATATAAAGAATGGATTGGCTAGGTGTAACAGACGTTTAAACACACCACTCGTATAATTCACACTATATGAAGCCTAGTCTTTGGACACGTGTATATTTACGTTAATGTTTGTCACTTCTTACTAACAGTATCTTAACTTTTTAAGGAAAAACTAGAGTGCAAAGTTTATTTCTAGATGCATCAATTTGTATATTCTTTTTTAATATCGCTCAAATCTGTTTGTAATAACTATCCCTAATTTTGAAGTGATAGACTAGAGAGAAGGCAACATGTCAATACCAGTTAGCAGTCTATGAATAAATGAATTTTCTATAATACATATTCCAACTCTATTTCATGCCTACCTTATCGTTTTGAGTTTTTGTCTAAATTTACTGATGACGGATAAAATTCCTTGAACCTACTTCTAAGACGAAGTAATCTACAGTAGTATCAATTATTATTAATAATAATAAAACTCGTACATACATACATACATGTGTATATATCAGGGGGAAAATGTTCAGGTCAGAATATAAAATACATGAACAATCGACACTATGAGGATATCATAAAGCTTGGGATCTTCTTCGTCATAAAATATCAGGGAAAAAATGTTCAGGTCAGAATATAAAATACATGAACAGTTACACTGTGAGGATATCATAAATATCTTGGGATCTTCTTCGTCATAAAATATCAGGGGGACAATGTTCAAGTCAGAATATAAAATACATGAACAGTCGACACTGTGAGAATATCATAAATATCTTGGGATCTTCTTCGTCATAAAATATCAGGGGGACAATGTTCAGGTCAGAATATAAAATACATGAACAGTCGACACTGTGAGAATATCATAAATATCTTGATCTTCTTCGTCATAGAATATCGGGGGGGGGAATGTTCAGGTCAGAATATAAAATACATGAACAGTCGACACTGTGAGGATATAATAGATAGCTTGGGATCTATTAACTGGACGTGGGACAAATAACAAAATATCATTTTACAGTGAATATGTGTAAGAATATAATTTATTTGTATTCTACGTCAAACTTTACTTCTCTTGTACTCATTTCTTTGTCGTAACATCTTCACCTGATCTAAGTGAAGAAAACTCAATACAATGTGAAGTGACTTGAATATTCTTGAATATAATTTAGGCATGGCGAGTCTATATGAACTATATTATCTATAATTATTATAAGCCTAGGACTACATAATTAAAGTAGCGTGTATAATTTTATGTTGTTTATTTATCAATTGAAATTATTTTATTATAACTCAAAACTACGAAAATGTTACAGCAAATACTATTGATCCTGCTGTTATACGGTTCACAGACATTAACTTTCTGCCACATAATTTACCTTAAGAAATAGTTTTCATTCAAATCAAATAGCAACATCACAGACATTAAATACTTCAAATATAAAACAATTACATTTGAGTAAATATTGTAGGTGTGTTTAACTAGCTACAAAAAAGACATTAATCAATATTTTACCTCTATTTCATTGTTTGGTGTTTTAACACTACACAGTAATACAACGATAACAACCTCTTCTAACTTACACTTACCACAGTTACAAATACTAGAATGATACTCTTACATTTTCAGCATTCTTATGTTTTATTCTACTAGTTCTTGAAATTTCTAGACAGTTTCTCAGAAAAAAATTAAGTTATGATTACTAAATAGATAAAAGCCTTTTTCAGCCGCGGCACAGCAGCTTATAGAACGGCTCTGAGTTTGACCTCGTTAGGCCAAAGCTGTAATTAGATCTCAAATCAGTCAAATGATTACGGAGCCATGAGCTCATAGTTTGTACTTGCAAAAAACAAAAACAATCCTGCCTAAAAGAATCTCAATAGCTGCGGCTATTAAGGATTCCCTCCTGTATTAATTTACGAAGCTAAAATAATGAGAAACATTTTATAACAACTAAAACTTACTTCACATCATACATTGACTGAGGTAAACGTATTGTTACGACAGTGGAAGTCACGCGACGCTGGGAGCATGCGCGCTGGAGTTTCTCGAAGGATCATGAATTTGCCCGCTAGCTCGAGTGTGATCTCGATGCCCTCTTTTTAGTATATATAAGCCTGACAAAGAAAGCCAGCGACATATAGATAATTAAAGAAGCGAAGAGTAGTGACGGTAAGTAAAGTGTTTAGAATCACTGT